GTTATAGCGTGACTGTTGAAATTAAGTGTATCGCAAAGTTATATTCAGAAAGAATAAACCAGTTTTATTTAAAGAAAGGACTTGTGTCGCTAAAGTTTCGTTGGAACAAAGTTACGGAAAATTAACTAACGAACGGAGACGTAACAATACTTATATGACAGTTTAATTCGTACTATTACAAAAGATAACCCTCGACACACTTTATTTCACTCAAAATCATCACTTGTGAAATACATATTTTTGTTTGTTTTGTTGAACTTCGTGTAAAGTTTTGTTTTGTTTGTTTTGAAGTTAAGCAAAAAGCCTCACAATGGGCTATCTGTGCTCTGCCCACCACGGGTATCGAAACCCGGCTTCTAGCGTTGTAAGTCTGCAGACATACCGCTGTGCCACTGGGGGCGTAAAAGTAGGAGAAACGGAAGTACAGGCGTCATAACCATTTGTGATACATGTGGTTGGTCGAGTAATTAACATATGTATAAAATATGGGGTCGATTTAAACCCTAGAAGATTCCTGTTATGCATCGTAAGAGATTGAAACGTTAAGTGACCTTATGATTGAGAGTGGTTATCTGGGATTTTCAAGCTAGGTGTTAATCTAAGATGGTACCTATGTAGTTAACGGTTTCGGGGAACTGAGTGGGAATCTTGTTAATATTGACATTAACAGTTGATTGCGACATGGGAGAAACTTTGTCATTTTATAACCAAATGGTGTCGCTCTTGTTTTTGTGGCATTAAGGATAAGACGCCGATGATGAATTCCAGCCAAAAAGAGGTGTTTACCACAACCTGAAGAACTTTACTGAGAGTTTAGCATAATCTTAAAAGTGGTCACAAGAGCAGTATGATCGGCATATTAATACAATTGGATAGGATAAGTATGTTTAGCCATATGAGCAACATATGGAATATACAATAAAGAGGATAGAATGAAGTCCTGAGATACTCAAGAAGAACAATCGAAGGATATAGAGAAAAAGAGAGTCGTCTCAAGAGAAATAGCTGATCGTTTTCCACGTAGAAATGAGTTGATGATTCGGATGTAGGTGAGTAGTAGCGTTAAGTTTCATACATTGTGAATTAAGCCACGTTCTCAGACAAAATCGTAAGCTCGCTCAAAATCAAAAGGTAGCAAACAATAAAACGTGTTAGTGTTAAAATTATTAGAGCTAGAGCCTGATAATTTGAGAATTTTATCCATTGTCGATACTTTTGGTATATGGCAATAGTTGATAATCAATAATAACTCTTTGGAGTCATTGAACTAAAATACGTTCGAAGGTTTTACTGGGGACACTGATAAGATGATAGGATGATAAGAACCAACACTTGTTGAAGTCTTACTAGGTTTTAAGAATAGTAAAATAACAAGATTCTTCCAGGAATTGCAATAAAATCCAGAATGAAGAAGAAAGGTATAAAATATTGCAAGTATAAGTATACTCATTCTGACACAAGTACAATATTTAAAACTATAATAATGCCGATTAGTTGTCTTATATAGCTCATGCTGAAAGAGATATATCAAATGTTGATACAAATATTTCCTTTATTGATTCATTAGCAAACATTCTTGGAAATTTTCTCACCTATGCCAGTTCCTGAAATATCCCAGCTTATTAATGTGCATAATCTAAACCAGCTTTATTTTGTCAAGCAGTGAATCTTTTATAACTTTCCTTGTCAATAATTTGGGAGTATCATCGCTGTCGTGAAACATCTATTTTATAGAGGTCTCTAACAGACTGCCTGTAATTATGTATTAGCAGTAAAAAGGCACTGATGGCACCAGGTTTGCAACCAGCCTCAGCGTTCTTAAAATTATTCTGAAACAACTTTAAACCTCTGACTTAATAAAAGTGATAGATATCCTATATGTCTGATTCTCGTTTATGATGCTGTGCTTACAATCTCACTTGAAAAGCTAATATTTTAACTCTTTCCATATAAATGACTTTACAGCTTCGAAACGGCTTCTTCTCTACTCCAAAGATATAACACATGCTCCTATGTTAACAGATCATTCTCTTCTTCAACTTACCCACAGTACTTTATATGTCCTGGGTGATAGTTATGTGAATGTATCCACCACAGTACAGGATATCCAATTGTTTCTGAGGAGTTGGCACAACAATGTTCGTGGCCCAGATGGAACCTCGTACTGTCACTTCAAACATGCTCCATTTAGGTTTTTTGGTTACCCAAGTTGTATTTTAACCTGTTTGGATCACACTGGTGAGGGACAAGAGAGAAGCTTGATTTGCTGAAGCTAGAACAACATCTGATGAAAAGTTTGGTTCTGAATGGTTTGGAGAAGGAAGAGGCATCATAGATTCCGCAATATTGTATAAAGTAGATTGAAACTTATTTATTTCTGAGGAAAATCTGCTATCATAATTCATATCAGAAACATAATACAACTTTGAAATTTATTTTCAAGTAGTAGAATAAGTCATGAGGTAGAATTACACTAGAACAAACACACACTGTAGCCAATTGGGACGATTCTGGAAGGAAATGTATGGTGAGAATAAAGCGTTCAGAAAGAGTGTTCTGGGGAATATAATGGATTCAGACAGGTAGATGAACACGATTACAAATTGCCATCCCACCTCTGCCAACACCTGAAAGATGGTTACAATGATGTAAATTGTAGCCAGGTAGTTTTGCCTTTAAGGTTTTGTGGAAAGTTTCGTTGGGAACAATGCAATCACAGAATCCCTCCTCTGGTAAAGTTTCAAAAAGGTGGCTGACTCATTATGAACAAATACATGTTAAAAAAGGCAAATTTTAACAGGCAGTCTCGATATATTCTTGCCTATTAGGATTCCGTAAATATCAGAAATGAAAGCGTGTGGTGAGTCCAGAATACGTGACTTGCATATTGAGTTTAAAAACAGATTTAACTACATATTTGATGCTGTCCATGACAAAGGATCATTGAAATGGGTGAATATTTCATGGAATTATAGTAATAAATCGTAGCATTACTTCAATGGTTAGGAGTTAAGAAGCACGTTACCAAAAGAAACAACAGTAACAGTATTAGCAGATTTTGGACTTGGTTTTCCTAGGCATTTTAGGAATATGATAGTCTAGCTGACAGATATAGCAAATCTGTGTGGGGGAGTGAGACCAATTTACTGCACTTTCTAACGTGATGAGGACCCAGACAATGTGAACAATCTGGCTTATTAGGACTGTTTTGCTGCTTAATGAGTGTTGTAACGCAGGTCCTTTTCATAGTGCAAAGGTTTGAGTGGAGGTGTCCTAAAAGCTTCCACTCTGTATTGTTGTTTAATAACGAAAGCATCACGTTGAAGAAAGTGGTCGATTGCATCCCTGGTTTCTATATAAAGTATCAAACTGCATGTATAAATAGTATTTAAGAGAATCTTTTGTCTTTCATCATCCAGCCCAACTGATAAGTTCTGAAATTGAATGAAAGGCCTTTTGAATAGTAGTGTCTGGGAGATAAAAGATAGGTCTGAAATGCTATTTTTACGTGCCTTGATTTTGACTCCACATATATACATAAATAGATATAGATAGACTTGAAATGTCATTTTCACCCGCCTTTGGTTTTGAATCAGCAATGGACAAATTGCGAGAAATGTAAAAAAAAAAAAAAACATTTGCAATTAATACAATTTTAATCACGTATTGGTTACTAATACTT